TATCTAAGGTAGTCTTAAGACATGTAGTAATAAGTTTGTAAGATGCTAGTTGTAAATGTAAGTTTAAATAAGAAATAAGATGGAATGAATATAAAAAGTATATAAGAATAAGAAATATATTTGCTAAAGTAGTTCTATAGTTTCCTTAAAGAGTATAAATAAGTAGATGTTAATATGTTATATGTGAGTTTGTAAAAATGTGTAAATGTTGAGTGAGTTTATGCTTAAGCACGTGTTATATGTGAATTTATGAAAGTGTAAATATTGAGTGAGAATCTATGCTTAATGTATATGGTAAAAGAATCTGAGACACAGAAGGTAGTGTCCTAGTAGACTGCAAAGTAGGCAATCTGAATGGTTTCAAAAGCTCCAGAAGCTGCTAAGAAGCTAAGAATGGTGGACGCCAGAACCAGCACAAGGCATCCGCAGCTGAGATCCGTAGAAAATCAACGCAACACAGAAAAACCTGAGCTAACATCAAAAACAGTGCGGTTTAGAATACTACTGTACCTAAAAAGGTCTCTGCCTGTGAGAACAAAAGTTGCAGAGACGCTTGTTTGAACTAAAATTGTTAACTGTAAAAAGTTTTGGTTGAAAAACGTCTCTTCATATTTGGAAGTGAAAGCCTGATACCAGAATTTATTTCTTGTTTGAACTTTTTGAACTTAAAATTAGATAAAACTATAAAAAGATTTTGGTTATGGATTTCTTCATATTTGGAAGGCTAGTATCAGAATTTATCATTTGAATTTTGGGACTTAAGAAATGAAATGAACAATAGAGATTCCATTGCAATGGGACAATTTTGAGTTTACTTATAGTAATGACCTAGGAACTGTTTGCTGTAATTGGGTTAAAAATGGAACTGTTTAAATGAAGAAATTTATTGTTTCTACCTTGATTCAAGATGCAGTTTTATGTATCCATATATGCTGGTGATTCATGTATTCTGTGTTAAAAATGCAATTGTTTTGTGGAACTGTTTATGTAAAAATGGAATTCCGTGCAGAACTGGTTTTGTGTTACAAATGGAACTGTTTAAATGGAAAAGTTTGGGTTTTCTAACTAGGCTTGAGATTTTGCTTAAGAAATTATAAAGAAAAGGGAGAGGTTAATATTCCTTATTCTAATTTCAAAAATTGTTTCAGTGGATTAATGTCATGTTTTGTTAGTAAGAAATGCAAATGGGGTATATACTAAGAGACTACTTTTAAAATGTAAAGAGTTTTATTAAGAACCTGCTTTTGGATGTTTTGCTAAAAGTTTTTTAAGTATTAATGGTTAGATTGAGAACATTGCTTTTCAAAATGGGTTTGTAAGAATTGTATAAGTTTGGGTTTTTTCTAACTAGGTTGAGATTTTGTTTAAAAAATTATAAAGAAAAGGAGGGGTTATGTGAATTAAGGTTGAATTATGTTTGCAGAAATTATGTTTAACTTATTGGTATTAATGCACCCTGGTTTTGTGGAGTTAAGGAAATATTTAAGTTTGTGAATACATCGAAGTTTTTCCTCTGTTAGCAAGACAATTCAAATGATTGAGTTAAAGTTGTAAGATGGAGAAAATTGTTAACTATATATAGCACCATATATGCTAATTCAAATGGTTCTGTTAAGAGTTTGCTTGGTGTTGTAAGATTGGGAGAATTGTGACTATGTGTAGCAATATTTATGTTAACCTGTTAATGGTAATGATGAAGCTAAGGGATTCTTTAAGTTTGTAGTTGCCTTAAGAGTTTTTGGTTTAGATAGGGCTTGAGGCAGCTAAGACTGCTGTAGTCACCTTGGACCTAATTCAAAAAAGAAATGCCATCTTTATCCTCTACTCCCATAATGGGAGGTGTAACAGCTACAGAGATTGCTGTAAGCCATTAATAGTTATTTTTTATATATTAAGAAACGGGGGGCCGGGCAGTGGTGGTGCACGCCTTTAATCCCAGCACTCAGGAGGCAGAGCCAGGCGGATCTCTGTGAGTTCAAGGCCAGCCTGGACTACCAAGTTAGTTCCAGGAAAGGCGCAAAGCTACACAGAGAAACCCTGTCTCGAAAAACCAAAAAAAAAAAAAAGAAAAAGAAAAGAAAGGGGGACCTGTGGGAGGCTGTTTTCGGGTTCCTTGTGGCTTTACCCAGCAGGTCTGCATAGAGGATGATTAGGTCCACAGGCCTGAGTGCAGGTGTCTGAGATGGTCTGCACTTGGCTGTGCTGGGGGAGGAGGTCTTTTGCTCCACCCCTTGGCGTCTCTATAAATAACCTGGGGCAGAGACAGTCCGGGCCCGTTGGAAAAGGTTGTAGGCCTCTCGAAGCTATCCTTTATTTTCTATCTGTTTATCTCTGCAAGATTCTCCACAATAAATTCTTCTATCTAATATTTCCTGTTGCTCACACTCAAGAAAACTCTGGGGAACTGTGGGGTTGGTGGGTAAACGCCCCACAGAAAGGAAAAGGAGAGAGAGAAAGAGGAGTTGAGGAGGAAACCAGGGACCAGTCACCCAGCACACGGTCAGCCACGGAGTAAGAAGGAAAGCAAGGTATATAAAATAGAGAAAGGTGAAAGCCCAGAGGCAAAATGCAGAAGAAGAAAAACGTTAATTGTTAAGAAAAATGGTTAGGGGGCTGGAGAGATGGCTCAGCAGTTAAGAAAACTGACTGCTCTTGCAGAGGACCCAGGTTCAATTCCCAGCACCCACATGGCAGCTCACAACTGTCTAACTCCTGTTTCAGGGGATCCCACACCCTTACACAGACATACATTCAGGCAAAACACCAACACATAAAATACAAATAAATAAATTATTTTAAAAAAGAAAGAAAGAAAAATGGTTAGAAATAAGCCAAGCCAAGGCCAGGCATTCAAAAGTAAGAATAAGTCTTCATGTATTTATTTGGAGCTGGGTGGCAGTCCCCCAAAAAGCAAAACGTTAAAAAAAAACAAAAACAAAAAACAACTACACCATCCTTTTGGTTTATTTACAGCCAGGCCCTACTGTGGAATAATCCTCTGTATATTGTGTAAATTACACTGTGATTGGTTTAATAAAGAAGCTGACTGGTCAATAGCCGGACAGGATAAGGTTAGGAAAAACCAGACTAAGGACACTAGGAAGAAGAAGGATGGAGTCAGGGGAGTCACCAGGAGAGGCAGAAGGAGCAAGACATGCTGGAGGACAGGTAAAGCCACGAGCGTGTGGCAACACATAGATTAATAGAAATAGATTAATTTAACTTATAAGAGTTAGCTAGTAACAAGCCTAATCTATCGACCAAGCATTTATATTTAATATTAAGTCTCTGTGTTGGTTATTTGGAAACTGGCAGATAGGAAAGAAAAGTCCTGCCTACAATGCCCAAATGCTACATTTCAGAAATAGAATGTATCTGGGTGGTACGGAATGTTCAGGAAAACAGCAGCCCAAGGCCTGCACCCCACCCCATCCACCCAGCCCAAGGGTGCATGCTCTCCAGGGTGCTGACTGTTCTTAGCACCCTGTGGCTCCTCCTCTATTTCCCTAGGGCTCCAACCTGGCTGTTCCTCCCTCAGTGCCATCAGTGGAGCTGCAGAGCTGTGACTTGGGATAACATTCTTATCACATTTTCTGGGCATTCCTTATCACCTTTTTGGTTTCTCACTTATCAACCTCATCTTCCTAGAACTTGCTTTTACATTCATTATTTTATGTGTGTGAACACATGACGTGTGTAGAGGTCAGAGATGGTTCTATTTACTCAACTACTTATGGGAGCTGCTTCTCTTCTACCACATGGGTTCAGGATATTGAACTCAGGTCATCTGGCTTGTTATTATATATTTTTATCTGCCAAGCCATCTTTCTGACCCTTTCTCACCTTCCTAACCCTGTTACTCAGCTGCATGCAGCCTCTAGACACAGAAGCTTGCTAAGATGCTGTCTACATTGGAGTGGCATTGGAGACTGACCCTGAAACATCTTTACTCTCCAAACCAGTGTGGGCTTGCCTAGCTAGATGGGAAAGTTTGTCTCTGTCCAAATATACCATTTTCAACTGATTCCAGTTGTAGCAAAAAGCAATGTTGAATTTCTGTCACGTTGTGTGTGTGTGTGTGTGTGTGTGTGTGTGTGTGTGTGTGTGCACGCGCACATATTTTTTTTTTTTCCTACCAGTTAGTTACTCTTTCTTGAGAAGCCTGTGGCACATACCTTCAAATCTCCGGTGACCATCATAGTCCTCAGAGCAGGGAACCTCAATGAACCTGCCTTCCAGGACCTCACCACGATGGGCCAAGACTTCAGCAACATCATCATCCATCCCCAGACGACTCCAGAACAGGAATGTGATCAGAGCAAGGCCAACTCCAAAGACCACAGTCCTTAGCCATGACCTCTGTGCCTCCTGAGGCAGCCGGTCCTTCTTGGTGCTGAGAATAGAAAACATAACCACTGGATGCAGCTATCATACTAAGCATGCCAATCAAAATCACAAGATGTTCACACTGGATGCCACCAGCCTTGAGCTGTGCCTATATTGACCTCTGATCAAGGTGGATGGACCCCCATCAATCTTGAGATATTGCAGGTACTCTTGCTGATGGGAAACAGGGGCCTACCTCAATCCACAACCCACCCAGCTTATTAGGACGCCCAACACGCACCACCCCTCAGAGGAGCTTCTCAGGCAGTATGTGACTCTGTCTTCTCTGATGGGACAGGGCTGAACATGTGCTTTAATGGACAAAACATAAGTTGACTACAGGCACTTCCTGTCCAGCCCATAGAGTTTCTAGTTGGAGGATTGCCATGGAATGTGAGTCTCTAATCACACTTATGCATCCCTATATGATTACCCCACCCCAAGCATGTGTCCCTACAAGAATACATGTGTACTTAAACCAACTTACATGAATCAAATCCATTTAAATCATAAATCTGAGGCCAGAAAGAGTACAGAAGCATGTCAGAAATGATGCATGAGTTAAGATGTCTCTATGACCCTGGTCTGTGTGGTCTTGATGAGCTGTGTCTGTGTCTCTACATAGCTGTGTGTATATCTGAGCTCTGCTGTCCAGGAAAGGTCTCACGGGCCATAGGTCTTGAAATACACGCAGAATTGTCAAGAGCTAGGTCCCTGTCCCCAAAGGCGCCATCCTTTGGATTCAGGTGTGGGTTTGACAGAGACCAACAAGGCCAGTTTTGGACAGGTGAGGTTTGAAAGGCTGACGTGAGGTTTGAAAGGCTGGGATGAGGTAACCAGCAGGGAGGTGGGTCATGTATACACAGAAAGGAGTCATAAAGGCCCAGAAATGCCCCCTAGTAAGAAAAACCTGCTCAGATCTCTGAATGCACACCGACTCCGAGGAAAAAGCTCCCTGTGGGCACGACCTTTGTGCAGAGTTCCTCGGTGGGCAGCCACATGGACATCTCACCATAGGAAGTTTGCAGCAGAATACCCCCAAGCCACGCCCCCAGACACTCCACGCCTACATTACTTCCAAGCTCTCCAAGTCACACCCGATCACATCGCAATAGGGCAAGTCCCATCCCATACCTCTGCCAGGAGCTGAGCCAGTCACAGTCACACCTATACGTCGGGTCAGACGCCCCGTCTTGTCATGACCACGCCCCACCCCTGGGATGGCCACGCCCCACTCTACCACCAGACACCGCGATCATGGCCACGCCCCACCCCCGTCAGACTCCGCCCCCGGAATGGTCACACCCACACGACACCAGTCAGGCGCCGCCCGCTATTACGCGCGGCCTCCTACGGTCCTCGCTACCTGTTCGCGCGCCGGCGCTCGGCTGCACTACTTCCCTCGGGAACTCTAGGTGGTCCCCTCCGCTGAGGCGCCATTGGGCCAGGCCGCCGCGGACCCAGGAGGGGCACGAGAGCCGCTAAACCCGGGGCAACAGCCGCAACAGCGAACGCGAGGCGGGCTCGGTGTGAGGGACGCAGGAGCGACACGCTCGGCCCTCAGCTGACTCGCGGCCAGACGTGAGCAATCGGAGGCCGAGCAGGGGGAGGCGGGGTCTTCTCGGCCCTTGGCGCCGCTCCCCTGGGGCACCTTCGGAGTTCAGCGTTCTCCAGTAGCAGTGCTGAGGCGACAGCGTGGGTGAGTCAAGCCCACAGCCATACGGTGGGCTGGACCAGGATGACCTATCTCCCACGGCCGCCGCCCTCTTCCCCTGAAAGCTGCACTGAGAATCCTGTCAGGGGCTTTGAGCTGCCGGACCAGCCTCTTGGACAAGTATTGCGTGCCTGCGAGTGGGCGGGTCGGGGTTGGAGTTGAGGGAGGAGTATAGTCCCTAAGGCTAGGACTTTGAGTCCTTTCACAGGACAAGCAGGTGAAATCATGGAACTGGATGCACGACTCAGTAGCTCCTTTCCTAAATAATCCTTTGTGGTTTTATAAAAGGTAGAGCACTGTTTCTTTAATTTCCTGGCAGCTTCAGTGTCATCCAGAAATTAATTTTAATGCAAATTACATTTAGCTCCGATATATGTAGAGCTTACTCCCTTTTCAGGTTATTATTATTTGCAGTGCTGAGTGTGGATCCCAGGGCTTCTGGTATAACGAGCACGTGCTGTATCATGGATCTAGCATCACTCCCACCCCACCCCCATTATCATTGCCTTAATTGTTTTTTCAGTACTAGGAATTGAACCTAAGGTCTTAGCATGCTAGGCAAGTGCTGTACCACCAGACTATATCCCCAGGCTTGTTTTACTTATTAATATGGAGACAGGGACTCATTAAGTTGCCGAGGCTAGCCTTGAACTTTCTTTATAGCCCAGGCAAGCCTTAAACTTTCACTCCTCCTTCCTCAGGTGGGGGTAGGGTGGGAAAGGTGTTACAGGTGTGTGCCACTGCCGTGCTTGCAGAGTTTTTTGTTGCCATAAATCACAATAATCTCCCAAGGAAACAAATGGTTTTCTATTTTGGGGGCAATTCACAAATACTATATTTGAACGTGGAAATAAACTTTTTGGTTTATTTTCATATTTAGTAAAATGAGTTTCCTCTTGTTTAGTTGAGCAAAATTGGCTGGTATCAGAACTGAAAAAGAAAGGGGAGGGCTCCCTCTGCTCCCGTTTGTAACTTGAATTCTCTCCACCAGGAAGAAGTCCGAGACAAAGATCTTATTATAGTAGTTCACAAAAAAATACCAACATGTCATGTTCCGTGCCATTTAAGATGAGATTAGTTCATTTGGACCTCAAGGGAGCACCACCAAAGGTTTCATATCTCTCTGAGGTAAGGTCTCCCTTCACCTCTCGATAATCACCTTTTACTCTGTGGAAGTGGGCACTGGTGATACAACCTTGAGGACCATGGATCAGGCAGGGTCATGACAGAGCATAAATGTTTCTTTTTCTCCCAGTTCCTCTCAAAACCAGACAGAACAACCAGGATGGCACACAAAAAAGAAGAAACCATGACATCTTTGTTGTGGCTCAATCGTATCCACCAAAAGGATAAGTTCAAGTCTTAACACTTAGTACCTGTACATATGACCTTACCTGAAAATAGTCTGTGGAGAACTGACCAGTTAAGATGAGGTTATACTGGGTTTCTGTGAGTCCGAATAAGAAAGGTAGATTAAGGGGCTGGAGAGATGGCTCAGTGGTTAAGAACACTGGCTGCTCTTCCAAAGTACTCAGGTTCAATTCCTAGCACCTACTGTCTGTAACTCAAGTTCTAGTGGATCTGACTCCCTCATACAGACGTACACACAGGCCAAATACCAACACACATAAACATTCAATGAATAAATAAGAATTACTTTTTTAAAAAGGTGGATTATGCGTGGGGTATATGTTTTGGGGGAGCACACTGTACACTCGCCCATGTGTGTGCATGGGGAGATCAGAGGTCAACAACAGATGTTTTCCTCTATCACCACATTTTTTTCTTGAGACAGGATCTCTCACTGAACCTGGAACTCACCAGCGCTGGGGTTACAAGCACACCCCCATACCTGGCTTTCACATGAGTGTTGGGGATCTAAACCCAGGTGGAAGAGAAGACACATGAGAAGGACACCCTGTGACAACAGAAGCAAAGGCTGGAATGTGAACAGGAAGGATAGTTAGAACCACCAGAAGCTGGAAGAGGCAGGAAGGACTCTCAGAGGAAGCCTTCAGAGAAAGCATGCCCTGCCAAGTCCTGGATTTGGGACTCCTGGCTTCCAGAACTATCAGAGAAAATACCTGTTATTTGAAGCTATTTCATTTGTAGTCATTTCTTAAAACAATCCTAGAATTCCGATACATTATTCAATATGAACACAGTAGCACTCATCTGTAACCCCAGTACTTGGGAAGTAGAGGCAGGAGGTTCAGGAGATCAAGGCCAGCATTGATTCCATAGCAAATTCAAGACCATTCTGAACTACATGAGACATTGTCTCAAAAAAGCGGTAGTGCCAGGCAATGGTGGCACAGGCCTTTAATTCCAACACTGGGGAGGCAGAGACAGGCAGATCTTCATGAGTTCCAGGCCAGACTGGTCTACAGAGTGAGTTCCAGGACACCCAGGGCTGTTATACAGAGAAACCCTGTCTCAAAAAAACAAAAAACAAGCAAACAAAAGAGGTGGTAATGGGGAGCTGGTAAGATAGCTCAGTAGTAGCAGGTGGTGGTGGTGGCACACGCTTTTAATCCCAGAACTCAGGAGGCAGAGACCGGCAGATCTCTGAGTGGGAGGCCAGCCTGGTCTACAGAGTGAGTTTCAGGACAGCCAGGGCTGCACAGAGAAACCCTGTCTCGAAAAACAAAATGCAGAACAAATACCAGGCAGTGATGGCGCACTCTCTGAGTTTGAGGCTAGCCTGGTCTACAGAACAAGTTTCAGATGGCCAGCAGAACACGAGGTGAGTGAGGTGTTACATGACTATAGTCAGTATTTGGGATGTGGAAGCAGGAGAGTCAGGAGTTCAAAGTCATCTTCAGCTATATACCAAGTTCAGGGTTAGCCTATCTCAAAAAAAAAAAAAAAAAAAAATGCAGAGCATTGATGAACTTAAGGATTTAGAAGTACTGTCTAGTCATTGACTATATCCAAGTGAGCAAAGTACCTGAGATGTACAGCCTAGTTACAGAGCCCATATGGGGTTAACCCATATGATCCTCACTGAAAAGGACCACATTGTTCCTAAGCCAGAGGAGGTGGCTGTGAAGAACGAAAAGAAGTCCCAAAGAAACTGAAGAGGCAAAAGCATACATTATAGGAATAAATTCTGCATAAGATAAAAACAAATAATAAAAAAAATAAAAAATACCTAAAAAAGCTGGTTGGTTACTTAGACCAGATCCTAGCACTTAGAAGGTGGAGACAGGAAGGCCAGTTCAAAGGTCATCTTTAGGTACATAGTAGGTTTTGCTACGTGAGGGCCCCTGTTTTGACACATATACACACCCATCCCACCGCAAAAAGGGAGAAGGAAGAAACAAGGAAAGCTCTCACTCAGTAATCCTAATGACATGCTAGCTGCAGTAACTCAGGGCAGTACAGCCTTGGGAAAATGTCCATGGAGGGTTCTGGCCAGGGCCATCTGGTCTCCTGTCAGATGTGCATCCTCCATTGCCCAAAGAATGAGCATGGCTTTTAAAGACACGATCAGTGACAGGGCTCAGGGATAAAGTCCCTTGCTACTAAACCTGAGAACCTGAATTTGATCCCTAGGCCCCACAGGTGGAAGGAGAGAACTGATTCCTGCAAGTTATGCTCTGACTGCACACCTGGTCTGTTGTCGTGTGTGCCCACACATATATATACACATATAAACAAGTGTAATATTTTAAGCCATGCAGCAGTGGCACACACCTTTAATCCCAGACTCAGGAGGCAGAGCAGGCGGATCTCTGTGAGTTCGAGGCCAGCCTGGCCAGAGAAAGATCCAGGACAGGCACCAAAACTACATAGAGAAACCCTGTCTTGGGAGGAAAAAAACAAAAAACACAAGTATAATAATATATTTTTTTTATTATTTATTTTTTTAACTTTTATTTATTTTGTATTCATTGGTGTTTTGCCTGCATGTATGTCTCTGTGAGGGTATCAGAAGCCCTGGAACTGGAGTTACAGACAGGATTGAGCTGCCATGTGGTTCTAGGAATTGAACCTGGGTCCTCTGGAAGAGCAGCCAGTGCTCTTAACTGCCGAACCCTCTCTTCAGCCCCACAAGTGTAATATTTTTAACTTGACTCTAACACTTTTGTAGCTAACTGCTAACTGCAGGAAAATGGAAAATAGATATGCTAAGGGACATTTGAGAACGCAATCAGAACCATAATTTTGAGACCCACACGGAACAAATGTTGATTTTTAGCAAATAAATTTTAGCAAGTGATTTTAGCAAATAAATTTGAAGTTAAAAAACAGTGTTTGTTATCGGTGAGAGGCTGATACATGAGGAGGCAAGTGTGGGCTACATAGTTAGCTCTAGGCCAACCTAGAATGCAGTGTGTTACCCTGTTTCAAAAAACATTGTATAGCCAGGGAGCAAAGACAGTCAGATCTCTGCAAGTACCAGGCCAGCCAGAGCTACATAGGGAGACCCTGTCTCAAAATTAGCACAGATACTGCTTTAAAAATTTGCTTAAGGGCCAGGTAGTGGTGCATGCCTTTAATCCCAGCACTCGAGAGGCAGAGACACACAGATCTTTGTGAGTTCCAGGACAGCCAAGACTGTTTCACAGAGAAACCCTATCTCAAAAAACCAAAAATCTCAAGGGGCTAGTGAAATGATGGGTCATTGGATAAAGGTACTTCCTACCAGCCTGATGACATGAGTTTGATCCCTGGATCCTTTATAAAGGAAGAAGAGAACCACTTGCCAAATCTCTGATCTTCACATAGGCACTGTGGCTCCCCCACCCCATAAATAAATGTTAAAAAAAATTCTTTTAATCTGCCTGAGGGGCTGGGGTTATGGCTTATACCTATAATCTCAGCCCTTATGAGGTAGATCTCTGGCCTTCTCACACATAAATGTATATTAACACATACAAATAAACAGAAACAAACAGAAAATCTACGTAAAAATGTATAAATCTGGAGGCTGGAGAGATGGCTCAGTGGTTAAGAGCTCTGGCCGCTCTTCAGAGGACCCAGGTTCAGTTCCCATAACCTACATGGCAATTCACAACTATCTATAATTCCAGTTCCAGAAGATCTGACACCCTCACACAGACATGCATGTAAGCAAAACACCAATGCACATTAAATAAATAAACAAAATTTTTAAAAATGTATACATCACCGGGCGGTGGTGGCGCACGCCTTTAATCCCAGCACTCGGGAGGCAGAGCCAGGCGGATCTCTGTGAGTTCGAGGCCAGCCTGGGCTACCAAGTGAGCTCCAGGAAAGGCGCAAAGCTACACAGAGAAACGCTGTCTCGAAAAAACAAAAAAAAAAAAAAAAAAAAATGTATACATCTGACCCAAGCCACAGCTTTTTGAAACAGGAAAATTTGGGAATGAGGAGTATTAAGGGATTATTAATAACTGATTTGGTGGGATAAGGGTTATGGTTATTGTCTTTTAAGTCCTTAACAAATAGTTTGAAATATAAATTGAAGTATTTACAAGTGAAAGAATGTCTGGGATTTGCTTTAAAGTATTCCAGACAGCCGGGCAGTGGTGGTGCATGCCTTTAATCCCAGCACTCAGGAGTCAGAGGCAGGCAGATCTCTGAGTGTGAGGTCAGTCTAGTCTACAAAGTAAGTTCCAGGACAGCCAGAACTGTTACACAGAGAAACCCTGTCTTGTCTTGAAACAACAACAACAACAACAAAAAAGTATTCCAAACAAAGAGAAAAGTAAACATTAGCTTATGATATATGTTTATACAGCTTAACAATGAAAACCTCTGCTACTATCTAATACATGAAAGCCCAGAGGCTCATGTGTCTGTGAGGGCCTGGCCTCCCTAGTCTCAACCTCTCAAACATCTGTATAACAAGTGGTCTTTCCTAGCCCATAAAACAGAGGTGCCCAGGTGGTCTACACAGATATCAAGAGGCCATGGGAAGCTAAAGAGGGGGAAATTAGATACCATCACCTTCCTTGACTTTATTTCAGTGTGGATAATGGGATTAGCTTACCTCTCTCGATGGTCAGACTGCCTCTGTAATTCACACTCACTTAATATCCATTTTGTGAATCATCTACTGCTGATTTTCAATCCTGATCTGATTTCTTTGATTGAGCATGTAGTTTAAGAAAGAAAACATGTTACATGTCACAGAAACATTTGAATCCTTATTTGGAGATTGATGGCTGTTTTAAATATAGATAGAGGCTTCCTCATTAGTGCTGACTGTGTGTGTGTGTTGTTTTATTTTTAAATCCCTGTCCTTGATCTCAGACCAGGGGTGAAATATATATATATGTGTGTGTGTGTGTGTGTGTGTGTGTGTGTGTGTGTGTGTGTGTGTGTGTGTATATAATTGATATATATATATACATCAGTTATTCTGTATAGTAGGCATGAACAGGTTCTAAAACTCCTGAAGATAAGGAAATTCCTACCCTTAACATAAAGATAGGGAAGGAAGTGGTGAGAGAATGAGAGGACAAGCTTTGAGACTTTGAACCCTACCTCTGCATACACACACCCCCACCTGCTTTTCCTTCCCAGAAGCTGAACTCATCTCCAGAGCTGTTCCTGGTGCTCCCTGCTGCTATGACACACAGGTTCTTGTGCATTAGACCATTCTGGCCTGGCTCCAGGATGACTCTCCCAGATGGCATAAGTCCTCCCTCAGCTGACCCACCAAAATTCATTGTTCTTTGGTAACTGCTGTTTCATGGCACATTACATTCCTGTGCTAAATAGGTATGTTATTAACTAAGAATTTGTTCAGCAAATATCAAATACACATTCCAGATTGAAAGTTTGTAAGAGAAATATGAGTATTAGTTCCGATCCCTCTCCAAAACCTAGTAAGGAAAAAGGTACATATTTTATCTAAGTCCTTCATTGTTCAGATTGCCACTTTTTTCAACACCCTGTTTCCCTCCAGGTTTTTCCCCTGTTCCATGCACTCGGTGCAAATGGCCTCCTCATTGAGTATGAAGACATGTTTCCCTATGAAGGCCGGCTGAGGCTGCTGAGGGCCAAGCATGCATACAGGTATCAAAGCTAGCAGAGGATGCCAAGTAGAGGGTGAGGGCCTCTAAGAAGGAAGGCATATGCAGAACTATGGGTGGGATAATTGAAATCTAACATCTTACATTCCTTTTCTGACTTTCTAAGTGTATGTGGATATTTATATAAATTGGTTACAAAATTAAAACAATGTACCCTGGTGTGGTGGCTCACACCTGTAATCCCACAGTTTGGGAGGCTGAGACAGGATGATCTTGAAAGTTAAAGGTTACTTTGGGCTGAAGAGTGAAATCCCATCTCAAAAACAAAACTGGCAGGGCGGTGGTGGCGTAGCCTTTCATCCCAGCTCTTGGAAGGCAGAGGCAGGTGAATCTCTGAGTTGGAGGCCAGCCTGGACTACAGAATGAATTCCAGGACAGCCAGGGCTACATAGAAAAACTCTGTATAAAAAAAAAAAAAAAACCCAAACACTTTATAAACATAAAACATTGGGGCTGGAGAGATAGCTCATGTGTTAAGAGCACTGAATGCTCTTCCAGAGGACCAAGGTTCAGTACCCAGCCTCCAAATGGTAGTTTACAGTCACCTATAACTCTAGTTCCAGGGGGTCCAATACCCTCTTCTGACCTTCTCACACTTTAAAAAAGTGGTAGTGGTATACAAGCTGTGTGTGATGACACATACGTTTAATCCCAGTACTTGGAGGCAGAGGCAGGCGGAGCCCTTTGAGTTCATGACCAGCCCAGTCTACAATCAAGTTCCAGGAGAGCCAGGGCTGTTACACAGAGAAACAAACAAACAAACAAACAAAAAAAGGTAGTATACAAACAAATGCAGGCAAAACACTCGGACAAAAAATTTTTTTTTTATTTAAGTAAAACACATAGAGGCTGGAGAGATGTGTTTGTGTTTAGAAGCACTTACTGTTTTTACAGAAGATCTGGGTTTGGTTCCCAGTACTCATGTAGTGGCTTGCAACCACTTGTAAATCCAGGGGATCCAATGCTCTCTTCTAACCTTAGGTTCCTGCAAGCACATGGTGTACATACACACACTTAGCATCACACACATGCAGAATTTTTTTAAGTAAAACGTGTACATTAAAGGTAATTAGGAAACATTTAAAAGAGAAAATAAACACCTACTCTGACCCTACAGGGAAGAATAAGAAGTCATGGGGCAGCTGGGACTGGGCTTCATTTAAGGCCACAGTTGGATATTTTTTTCTCGTGCATGTGTGTGTGTGTGTATTCACTATTCACCGTGGGGGGGGGTGCATATGTGCAAGTACATGTGGAGGCCTGAAGTTGGCATCCAAAGTCTTTATCACTCTCCACTTCCTTTATTGAAGCAGCATCTTTGGTTGAGTCCAGAATACACTATTTTGGCTAGTCTGGGAAGCCAACTTGCTCTGGGACCCCCATCTGTGCCTTCTGAATTACAGATGGGCCACTATGCTTACCCAGTATTTACCTGGGGTCTGGGAATCTGAACTCTAATTCTCTTGCTTATGCGACAGGCATTTCCACCACTGAATGATCTCCCCAGCTTCTCACAATTCAATTTTAAACTTGGAATGCATAAGCAAGTGGGAAAATACTAAGCCTCTCATAGAAATCAAGATTGAAACAACTTTGCAGTGTCATTTTAGCTACTGAATTGGTGAAGCTGGGGTTGTAGCCCAGTAGTCAAGTACTTGCCTAGCATACACAGGTGTTGGGTTTGATCCCAAGCAGAAGGTTGGGGGAGTATAGATGTGGTCATTGCTGATTCTTTAGTTAGGTGTGGCGATAACTGCCTATAATACTAGTCTTGGATGGCTCAGGCAGGAGTATGGGCTGCCATCCTGTTTCAAAAAATCCCAAACAGACTAAAGGCAGCATTCTGTGGTGGTGGGAAGAGGAAAAGCAGCCTCTTGCTGGTGGAGGGACCACCATGCTAGAGGGCACTATGGCTCTGAGCATCACATTTCTCCAGGGCATCTGTACCTGCTGTCAGTTTGCCTGCTCTCTGTGCGCTGCTGCTTTCCAAACAGTGAATATCTGTTTGTCTTTCAAAATTAAAAGGGGGAGGGCAGGGGTGAAGGGACCTGTTAAGGGCTATACAAAAGCAGCTGAGCGATAAATTTTGCTCTTGGGCCAATCTGCCAACCCCTGTTATGCAGGATGATTCTATGGCCAGTTCATGTAAGATGCAAAGGGGTAAGAAAGGACTGGGCTGGACTGACACAAGCCCCTGTGTGCTCTTATCACTCCAGCCCCTCTGAAGTTACAGAGATCCTGCACTTGGCCAGACTCAGTGAGCTGGAGGTTGTTCCCTTGGTGCAGACATTCGGACACATGGAGGTGAGTGAGAGGAATGAAAATCACTGGTATGGGTGTGGGGTTCAGAGACTGGACTTGGGCTCCAATGTGAGGCAACAGGGCCTGACAGGGCATAGGCAGCAGCAGTGCAATGCTGCCTGAACCCCATTCTCAGAAGCACTGACCTGTAAGCAGCCAGAGAGCACTACTCTTGGTCAGGGCAGCTGCGCCAGGAAGGAAGGATGCCTTCCATTTTCTGCTTATGTCTTTTTACCCATATTGAAAATTATTTCTCATGTAAGACAACTGAGAAGCAAGCATGATGTTGATTTAATGGCTTGTAGGATGCAGCTGCATTCACTCCCCTAAAATAAAATTTAAAAAAAGGACTGGAGGGGCTGGAACTGTTAAGAGCACTGGCTGCTCTTCCAGAGAACCCAAATTTGATTCCCAGCACCCATGACACAGCTCAAAACCACCTGTAACTCCAGCTCCAAGGAATCTATGACCTCTTTCGGGCCTCATGGGCACTAGACACATGTGGTACACAGATCCTAACCCTAACAAGCAAAAACCATGTAAGTCAAAAGAAGAAGCTAGAGATATAGCACAGTGGAAAATAAATTACTTAGCTCATGCAAGGCCTTGAGTTAAAGTCTCAACACCAGAGAGAGAGGAGGAGGAGGAGGAGGAGGAGGAGGAAAGGAAGGAAGGAGGAGAGGGAAATGGAAGGGAGAAGGGAAGAAGGCTGCTGAGGAACCAGCTAGAGGGTTTAGAGCCCAGCTCAGGTAGAGTCAGAAGCTACTGCCCTGTGGGCTCTGAAGCTTATCTTACCTGCAGACATCCAGAAGAGATAGGAGTAATCTTTGCAGGCCATCCAGCTGGCCCTCAGGGACACTGTCAAGTTAAGCAACATAAGCTTGGAACTCTTGTCAAGGACACACAGGAGACCAGGGTCCTTGAGCACCAGCTTCCTTCTGTTCTTGTCTCTCCATAGTTTGTGCTAAAGCATGAAGCATTTGCACATCTCCGTGAAGTGGCTCTCTTCCCCAACACCCTGAACCCTCATGAGGCTGAGTCTCTGGCACTGGTAAAAGATATGATTGACCAGATTCTGGAACTACATAGGGGTGTCCGGTGGCTCCACATTGGCTGTGATGAGGTGAGTACCTTTGATCTCAAGGTCTGCAGCTTCTTCTTTTCAAAGCCACCCAGTTCCATGTCAAAGCTTCTCTCTCTCTCTCTCTCTCTCTCTCTCTCTCTCTCTCTCTCTCTCTCTCTCTCTCTCTCTCTTTTTGGTTTTT